TTTTTAAAGGTAACTGGTTTGTGTTGTGAGAAGGGAAGTAGTTACTGGATTCTGAAACAGAATACATTTGTTTCTTTGCCATAGGATATGCAGTGAACGAAACTGGGGTAGTGTAAAACTCTTATAAAATTATCGCGTTTATAATCGAGTGAATATCAAGAATTATTGTCGAAACTATCATTAGATCACTAATTACCATGAATCCAATTATCCTTCATTTAACTTAAGACCTTTTATTGGAAAGATCTTCCCAGGATCTCATCTGTAGTTACTTTGCAAAGCTACACTTTACATTTATTTGTAAAAAATAGATATCACTTGTTCTGAAGGGCTTGCAAGAGGTGCAAATTCTGCAGTATTTGCAGTGGTATAGCTCAGCAGTGGCAGAAATTCGAGACCACATGGGATTAACGAGCGTTTTTTCTTCGTTCTCAGGCTATCCTGACGTATATCGGAAAAATAATAGTTAGATCTGGATAATAGGGTTCATGACAGCTCAACACCATGATGTTAGTGCAGTATAAAGTTACTAGTTACTGAAAAGTTAGTTATAAACTTAATCTTTCGTGATGAAAATCCTAAACTTCATTGTCTTTGGGAGAAGCCAGGATTTTTTATGATCATAGCTGTCGAGGAATACTTATTGAACTGTGTTTTGTCTGTTATTGATTTTTTTATCGATCTACTCCGTTTTTTTGTTCAGAATGTCGGCGAGCTTTCCTGTCCCGGCTCCTGGCCCCTTTAATGCGCAGTCACCGGTCTTTCCTCAAGGTTTTGCCTTTCCAGCCGATGCTTACCAACAGGTTTGATTTTACGTTCAGTGACGTTTCATCAGGGTTGATCGAATAATCCGAGCACCGGTTTTGGGCCCGTTCTGGTGAAGGGGGAAGGGGAGTAGGGGGGGGGGCTATGTCCATCGCCCTCCATGGCATATGTTTTTCTTTCATCCACAATGGCAAGTCATAGCCATGGCAGTTTTCGTATAGATTGCTGTTCTATTGATTATCTTCCAATCGATCGATAATCGCCCTTCCCTTGAAACAGGTTGCGATTTCTTTTCAGTGTAGGACTTTGAATAATAATGAATATTATTTTAATGATCCTGGTTATTTAGGGATTTAATACACCTTCTAATCCTTATCCATCTTCCAATGGTGCTATACCTACGAATCCGATGTTTGACGCAAAACAAATGAACGGGTTAGTCGCTATACTTTTACAGTTTTTTTACAATTATTTTTACTTATTACGGGTCGAATACTTATTTTTACTGGATCATTGAGTAATTGTGCAATGGACATTAAAAGTTTCAATGGGGCAATATTTTCGCTGAATGGTTCGATTTTTGGCATAGTTCTGGTATAGTATTTTTTCTGGCAATTTAAATATGTACAGCAATACGTGGTACTCAGGATTTTCCCAATTTACTTGAAATTACTACGAAAATGCAGTAATGCTATATGAGCCTCTTGAGAGTAGCCTTCATTACTTGAAATTTGCGTGAGTAACCTTGATCACCTGAAATATTGCGGAAAATTTTAGCTGACCCGCTTTTCATTCTGTCAGTTGGTAATTGCATGTTCACGTGAAGGTCATATGTACCCACAAATCGTTAGTGTACTAATTTATTGCTTAATCGATCCACGTACAAGTCTGATGTAAAGTGGTAGAAACTGCATCGCTCACCCTATGTCAGATTCTCCGTAGAGAAAAGGGCCCTAAAAACTTGGCATCGAACAATCTTTCACTGTTTTCATATCTTTTTGCTATTTGATTAACCGTATACGCTGTTGAAAAGTGGTCATAAAGTCCCAATAATCACTTCTCAAATCACTGCAAATCTGTTTTCACCCTTCACAATAGGTTTAGTAAGCGCTGTAGAAATGTGAGCAGCATTACCGGGCTGTGAAACCTTGTGGTTCTGCTACCCTGGTAGTCCTGTCCTTGATCTGTAGTTCTGTCCTGGTAAGGTGCTCAAATTTTTTGTAGTCACGAGAAATGGGCTCTGTCTGGTTTTTTTTTGCAAAGCTCGTACTATGTACATAAAGCGTCGGCAAAGTGTTGGTCAACCTGAATCCGGCTCCGAGTTTTGTTGATGCTTGGTTGGGGGAAATTAGGCTACAGCTCCATTCGGGAGGAAAGCGATTTGATTATTTTATTTCATTGTTTTAAAAAGTATTTAGAATTTCATGGGTTGTAGCAATGGGAATGGCATTATACTGGGAATCTCGCATTGCCTGCCACTAGGAGATGCTAACTTGTCCCATGATAATTCTGCCCGAGTATCGCTCATGGCCCGAGTAGCCCGATTCCGCCTAAGTGAGGGAATAGCGAAGATTCGAGAATATTCACGGGTATCAAACTTCGGTTTAATTTACAGGTATAATAGCTGTAATCATGTAGTGAGTAGTAGTAGTGTAATAAAATTTACTCCTGAGTAACAATTATTCCTCCGATGTATATGCACGTAAAGTGTATATAAATGGAAGTTCTTACTATTTGGTATTTAGGCTGGTGGGGCTGCAGTGGGTTGACTGGTTACTATTTGAATAAACTTATTGGCAGTAGTTTGAGGAAAGTGTTTAGGTAGGGCAGAGAGGTGGACGGAGTTGATTAGAATTGGTCACATTACGAGATATTCTGTTCTGACATATTTGAAATTTTCGAAATTATAAAGACCCTGAAGTATCATCATTTATCGATATTTATCTTAGATTATCTTCAAACCTGCGAGTAACTTGAGTTTCAAGGGGTTCTGAGGAGATCATCTGTGTATGGTTAGAATAGAGAAAGCAAAAATGCGGTGAATAATGTGTGTTATCATTTCAGGTACGGATATGTTGGGGGACCGGGACCGATGGGCGGAGCTCCCCTCATGTCCCCCACGGCCAACGTTCCAGCTCCGTTTGGTGCACATCCGATGCGACAGTTTCACCAACCGGGCATGCCAAAACCATGTGCTATGCGGCCACGAATGCTACAACACATGGGTGGTATGATGCCGATGAACGGTCAAATGATGCCAAATCAACAGCAACCGCCGACTCCCGTGAATCATCAGATGCAGCAGCAACAACAACAACAGCAACAACAACAGCAACAGCAGCAGCAACAACAACAAATGCAGCAGCAAATGCAGCAACAACAACAGCAGCAGATGCAGCAGCAACAGCAGCAAATGCAACAACAGCAACAGCAAATGCAACAACAACAACAGCAACAACAGCAACAGCAACAACAACAACAACAACAACAACTTGCCGCTGCACAACAAGGAATTCGTCAGCAAACTCCAAATAGTCAACAAATGCAAACAAAATCGCCAAGTCAACCAGCATCCCATCCGTCATCAAGTCCCATGCAGTCGAATAGGCCAAGTCCCGGATCAAACAGGTTTGTGACAGACCGACAGTCTCTCCGTTGTACTTTTTTTCCTACACTGGGGAAAGGGAAAGATTCGAATCGTTTGCAAAGATTAGTACTGTGACTAGACTTAAAAAGTAGTATAGTAAAAGTTGCAATTTAGCAAAATAATAAATATACGATTTAAATATGCGGCTAAATATATTTTTACGCCGGAAATCCTGACTAGATGACCTAAAATTTCCAAAAAATTTAATAATCTCATTACCCGATAGAGAAATTTGTGATAGTTGAGTGGGAAAGAATAAGGTTCATAATGGGAAGGCAGTTTGTCCCGAAGCCATCCCTCTGAGAGAACCAACGTCAGTTTCAGCGGGCAAAATAATCGATAATTGGTGACTGTTCATTAGCATGGGAGCAAGCTTTTCAGTTTATATAACTTGTAATCATTACAGGACCCCTTGATATTTTCTGGAAAATTCCTCGCTAGTTCCCAATGGGTTGGTAGACCTTATAGATTAGTAGAGTAGAAAATTAGTTAAGTTTAAACAGAAATTCTTTTGAGCCATTTTTTTCCTCTGGAGCCATTCTTTTCTCGATATGTAAAATATCTATGGGAAACCCATCAAGTACCGACCCGAGGTTTTGCAGTTTCTGAAATTACCTCTGCTGTGATTCACGATTCAGCGAATATTGACGTTAATTGCTCACTTATTTTCACCTTCGGTGTATCACGACTTCACTGGAATCTTTTCCATCGACCCTGATGTGCTCCTTTCTCCATGATAATAGTTATTATCACCATTATTATTATTGTTATTATTGTATTATTACTACTATTATTATTATTGCTATAATCACAATTTTACTAGTGTTAAATGATGAAAATCTAATGTAAATAATATAGTATGTATTTAGTTCCAGGGCAGATCATAGGGAGTGAGGCTCAATTGATTTGCTGATAGCGAGTCGATTTTTTCCCAAAAAGCATTTTTTAGGTGTAAGAAACGAAACAGTTATATGACCAAGTTAAGCGGGTTCAAGAGTACAGGGAGTTTTCCAACCATATATGGGACGCAGAGCCGATAGTAATGCCCCGCCGATTACGGGATTAGTCATCAGCCAATTTTTTTTGCTCAAGAAAATGCTCATCTCTAGTTCACACATGTGCGGCAGAAATCGTGAGAACCCCTTTTTGTGCGATCCTGCTCTCACACAAGAGAAAAACAGACCTAACCGTTAACCTATCGAATTAGTGGCAACTGATTAGGAGAAGGGAAAGGGCCGGAGGGTAAGGAGAGGTATGGTGGAGCGTAGGGGTTTGATCATACTATTCAGAACAAATAACAAAAATAGCGAAATTTCTGGAATCTGAAGGAATCGCCTTCAGAAATGGGCAGGGCTACAGGCCTTGGGGTAGTGGCTCATGGGAGCTCTCAGTTTTCATGAGTGTGTGAGTTCATCATTCCAAAATTTTGTTGTTACATCATCCGATATAATAGCTAGAGGCACAAAAAAGAGGCAAATAAGAACTTCTATATATTTTTTTAAAATTTTGCTTCAAATCACTGAATTACTCGTTGAGACAGTGAAATAACGGATGACTCTAGCTTTCAACTATTTTCAAAAAATTTCGTATTTTTGGAGCATATTTTACAGTTTTTCTAACAATAACTATCTTCGTTTTTTCTTTTTAGTTAATTTTCAAAGGGATCCATCTTAAGTTTGAATTGTACATGGCGCAGTAACTTTTACAAATCGTGGAATTGTTATGTTGGTAAAGATTTGCTCGTTTGGGGAGCTTGATTCGTAGACATAGCCCGACAAACCGGCCTAGTTTTTTTTTTTTCGAAGCTTCGTCTGAGAGTGCACTTTCGGGACAGTTTTTTTTGGCTATCAACTTATTTTTTCTCTCCAAAAATCTGCTGGAAGACGTAGCGCGATGTTTAAATAGAACTCTGGTGTGACCTTAGTATCTTATCGATTACTCTGGATGTACATGGATTTCCAGAGTTATTTGCTATTTGAAGATATGTTCTATTTATTTTTGAAAAATTAAAATAAATAATCTGAAAATTCTGCTTAGCAGTAGTGTCACCATTTGGGGAAATCTGTCAAAAATCGATACTGTGGGAGCGAGTTAAGTTGATTGATTTTGGAGACGCGCTCTCTGATTTAGGGGTGTATATCCGTCAAATGCAATGAGGCCCCCGTCAAATGGTAGTGGCCATCCGAAATCTGATTCATCACCGGCTAGTATGCAACAGACATCGAGTGATCAGGTATTTTTGATGATTCATTCTATATTTATCGATTTTTAACTGATTTTTTAAATTTTAGATTTCGATGAATTCTGGGATGTCGGCTGGTACGGCGATGAGCCCGTCATGTTCAGTTTTCGGTAGCGGTAGTGGCGGTGGAGGTAGTGCCGCTGGTGGAGGAGCTGGTCCTCCACAGGCTGCGCCACGAACCACCGAACATCAAGGACCACCTCAACCACCGACCACCAATACGCCATTCCCCCTCGTTACGCACTATGATATGCCTCCCGCTTTTGTACATTTGCAGGATTCCTTTCAGGTGGGAACCGCTTCAAAAAGTTCTTCACGTACTTTTTTTTATGTTGGTTACCAGTTTCAACTCTGGACGAGTAAAATGCCTAAGCAAAACAAGTTGCTCTTGCATGCATCGGATTTTCGATTTCCACCTTGCGCTGAACAAGTTTTTCGGTGTCCGCTTTTGGATGGGAAACGTGTTTGAAGATCGGATGAGAAAAGCCGTAGAGTGCTCGGTGATGACTATTCTCGTTCGGGATGTGCCACGTATTTGAATTCTACTCATCGTGGAAATACTTGGATGATGACCTGGAATTAAAGGGTCTCCTGGGACTTATCCGATCTATATGCAAATGGTTTTTGCCCGGACGCATTACGAAAGAAAGCCTCTATTAGTATGTGGGGAATCGAAGAATTGAATCCGACTTCGTACACTGAGCGACTTCTTCAGCTACTCATCAGATATGTGTGGCTTGAGCGTTCCGAGTTCCGAGTTTTTAGTATTTCAACCATGACTTCACCACCTCATAACTTCCAGGCCGATCAGGCTGGTCAGGCCCGGTCTTGCTATATATTGGAAAGCTGATTTTTCTGAGTTTTCGAGTGTTAGAAAGAGCGTTTTGACCGGTGACCGATAGAAATTTGACTAATCCTAGCCCGCTGGAGTTCGAAACGTGCAGTCCTCACTTTGTGTTAGATTTTTCTGAGTTTACCCTTCAGATTAGTAAGTAGAATGAAGCTGTACAATTTGCTAATCCGCAGCCTCATTATAGATGAGAAATCCAGCCCTTCAAATGTATTACAAACGTCGGAAAACGTTGCTCGTGTTGCCATATCCTGCCGGACCGAATCTTCCCGTAAGAAATTGAATTTTATAATTTACTGTTGTAAGTAATGAAATACTAAATCAGTCAGACAGTAGTACTAGTACTAAAACGCGTGGGCAAGGCTGCTAAGATTTGGAATTCCATTTGTAGCGATTATAGCGCAAGATAAGAGGCTGGGTTTGATTCGGGCTTCTGTTCTGTGTTTGGGGATCGTCAGCTTCCGAACAAACAAAGGTTTTTATTGGCAACTCTAGCATGGGGACATTGAGGTAGCAAAGTATAATAATAATTTAAGCTTTTAATGGTTTCTAGTTGGTTAAGTTTACCTCCTAATTTTGGCCTATAATGATAAATAGTATCTGTAATATATATGTATTCATGAGGGGAAAGAGAAGAAAGTATTACAACAAAGGTAATCCTTCGAAACTCTACTTGTATATTTTTGTCTATTTTTGTTGTGTATTTACTTTTATATTTTTTTAGTTGAGTGTTTACGGCTGCTATTATATTTTTTGTGTAGACTGACATAATAATTTGTTCTCTCATTAATTTTGAAAGCTTTTTCGGAGTTCCAGATGTGAATAATAGTCTTTGAATGTACTATTTTGGAATGTAACGACCAGAGAATCGTTGGGTCATTTGGGCTTTACAAAATAACGTGAAATCATGGAGTTTACTAGTAATGGAAAACTGGTTAAATTGGTGGTTCTGCTCTCCAAACAGCTATGTGTACTAGTCTAACTCACCTATGAAAGAGTAAATTACCTAAACCAGAAACCCGAAAACTCATCACGTGTTTGCTGCAGCAATTATGACCTCTCTATGATATGTATGGTTTTTTGTAATTAATTTATTTTATTCATATTCAGAATATCGCTCCAATGGAACCAGCAACGTTTGCATTTTTGCCGCATACGAAACACTATGATGTAGCCTATGATCGGCGATATACGGCAATGAATCCGATGTCGCAAGGGCAACCACCAATGCCAAATCGGCAACCTGCGTGAGTTTTATCCTCGTGTTTGGACCCGTAATTCGTTATAGTTAATAGTAGTAGTTAGTAACAGTTTCATCCTAGCCGTAGACATCTGTGACAAGCGTTTGTACCAATTTAGACCAAGCCCCCAAATGATGTCACCTGCATTCACACAACCGCAACCTCCAACGAAAACCAAAGCACCACCGTCGAAGAAAGCTCGAAGTGGTAAGTGCCAGGGTTGTGCTTGTTTATGGGAGCTCGACGTTGATTACATTAGGATAAGCCACGCTTTTGACACATAGTTTATATCGATCTTGAGTATCATAGTGCATATTAATATAAGGCAGTGGTATAGAACTTTGCGGTTACGGGTTGTCAGGGCTCCTCCAGGGCTCCCTAGCTGTCAGGGCCATCTTTTCTCTTCTCAGAGCTCTATGTTCTCACATATTTCAGTTGTACAATTAAATAAACCTCATTTCTGACTGTTCGCATTTTAGATTCCAGTGATGGTGGCTTCCCAGGAATGTCTTCTGGTGGTCCTCCTGGAGGAGGAGGCGGTGGTGGTGGCGGCGGTGGTGGTGGCGGCGGTACTGGTAACAATATGATGATGGTACCCGGCTGTATGACAGGACCACCACGCCATATGCAACCGATGCCACCCGATATGTCACATTATGGTGGTGTACCGACATCTCAAATGGGCATGAATCCAGCTGCTCCAGGCATGCCATACTATCCTGGCATGTCACCAAGTACTGTACCTTCAAGTTCATCAGCTGGTAATACACCCTCAGTGGGTATGCCTAATGGGATGTATCCTATGGGTAATGTACCACATAGTGCAGCGGCATCAATGAATATGGCCAGGCTACAGGATATGTCTCAACAAGTTAACGATAACAGTAAGTACATTTTTGTTGATTCATATTTGCTTTTCGAAAAGTTTACGTTTGCTATTTTATCGTCTCTGCAAGGGTCACCAATAGCTTATATTCCAGGATCACAACAAGTTCCAGTGTCCGGTGTCTACCAAAACATGTCCAATGGCCAGATGTCATCTGGTGATCAGCAATCGCTGAGCAGCCCTAGAAATCAGGTACTGACCGTATTCCTTGGTTTTTCTTAATTTTCATACTCCCTAAGCTTTTTTTGCGTATTTTTGATCAATCATTTTTAGATGACCCAGAATCCATATCAACAATCAGGAAACCAATTCGACATATCTCCTCAATGTCCAAAGTGCCTATGTCTTGTATCGGTAAGTTTTTAATTCCATTCTTTTCTGCAAGATGAACGTTTATCGTTACCAAAACTGATGGATAGCAGTAAATGGCTCATTATCTGTGGCAGCCACTAAGGGGTTTGCTAAGCGCATCATTGTGTTTTACTGTTCGTAATTGGCTACGGATCGCCCCGCCTACATTCTTCTAAGGTTCATGAAATTCGAAAAGCTTACGTTTCAAATTTCTGTATTGCTATGAAAACTGAAATAGTGCATTGGTTATTTGTAAACGACTCTCATTCTTCAACACACCGCGCATTTCCGTGATTCCCTGCAGAACCTTACTGGCTCCTCCGCACTGAATGACCCCTTAGTTCTCTCCAAAACTATCCTTGCTGGGTCGTACAGCTTTGGATGAATGGATGAGAAGTCAGGAAAGGGCAAAGTCGGTTGAACCCTTTGAATCACCACTCGTACTTTTTTTGTAAAATTCTTAGCTAGCAGTGAAAGATTGGGAAACTGGCAAAGTAGGCTATGCAGACTAGATTTGGTCTTCATGAAGGGTCCAAACTGGTCACCACTCGCGGAGCATTGTTCCTTTTTGAGTTGATTGACCCGTTGAATATTTCAAATGACCTTTTCTATTCGATGTTTTTTTTGTTTGATAACTAGATTTTGATTTCTGATTTTTGATCAGCCTATAACGTTCAATATTTCCAGCCCACTAATCGTTCCGTACAATGCAATGGCCCATGCATGCGCTTATTCCACCAGGTAACCTTTATAAATGATTATTTTACATTTACTTCACTTTTTTTGAAATAGACATAATATGCATCCACCCATTGTATCCATAGTATATCGATGATTGAAGGGCGGTGGCAGGATAGTTTGACCATACTAAAAATTACTTATTTCCATGGTTAATCGAGATCAAATTCGAACCATTGAAACAGATCAATCAATTGATCAAACCAACACGATAAAAACAAGTAAAGAGAACTATTAGAGGCTCATACCAGTATAACACATTCTGAAATACTGTAGTTTAGTTCTATATGGATAACGGTGCGGCCCCTTTGATGAAAAAGGAGTTGTTGGTTTCATGTAAAACACATTCATTTTAATGTAATCCCTTACAACGGACCCCATGTTAACTTCGGGAAGTCTACTTCGAGCCCACGATCCAAGAGGCGGTCCTCTATGGATTGCATGATAAATGGAACATAATTCCGCAAAGCCATGTTTACCTGGGTCCTGGCAAGCTGGCGTGTTTGTTGACGGACATACGCTTCGATGAGCATTTCAGTAATTTTGGTTTACAGAATCCATAGACGAGTTAGAGTAATTTTTAGTGGGATTTTCGGTTGTTGAATTAACAGCCAGTATTTTTAAGGTGCCCTCTGTTGGAATTATATACGGAATTAAGATGCTCCCAGACAAGTTACCTTTTGCTATTCGCCCATGATTTTTACCTGTAAGCCTGAAAAATGTTTGATAAAAACAATTTTTTTCGTGGATAAGTTCTTTTTGGGTATGTGTCATTGTCATCAAGCCAGCAAGGATGGGCCTAATTACAAGTTTTTACTTTAGGGCCTAATTACAAGTTTTTACTTTAATCCAGTCGAAGAAATGTGGTACCATCAAAATTGTCACGGGAAAAGAGGGGTTTAAGGTGACTTAGCTAAGATCCGGTCCAAAATTCTTCTAACGAACTTTGTACGTACTAGTGGCGCCATTTATGGCTACTCTAACTTTTACTGCTTACAATTAGTACTTTACTCTTTCCAGAATTGTACTGGTCTACTTCCACGAGCATTTGCTTTATTGGAAGAAGATCCGAGTGCAAAATGGGTGTGTGGCGCATGTGAATCATCGGTTCTATGAATGCATAAAGGCAGAACACGACGATCGTATCCGACGGTTCGTCGTACCCCGTGATTGGTGATCTTCTGAACAGATCTTCATAAAGCGTTATTCCACAGACATTAAGCCAAATTCATCAAACGGACTACAAATTTATGACCATCATCATCATACGATTTTTTTTGTTCATTTTCATTTTTATTCTTAAAAAAATATTTCTCATTCTCATTCTTCCCAGTGCATCTTATGTATTTAACAAATGAGATCTGCTCTGTATAACTGCCAACTTTTTTTTCGTGCTTCTCCATTTTTATCTTCTTCATCCCCGGATTATCGT